GGGTTGAGTCCGGCTGTCTAGAGAGGAACTCAGCCGCATGTCCTCCTGGAACTGCGAAGATTTTGCTCCGTCCCTTCTTTGTGAGTTTCTGTCTTCTCCCAAATGTTCTTGCTTTTTTGAAAGCTTTTCTCCTTTCTCCCCTCTCTTGTTGATTTCTGGGGACTATTCAAGCTGGTTTCGAGCGTGACCCTACACCCCTATCAGATGGATCTACCACCACTCATGTCTGCTATACTCTGCTCGCTTTACAAAGTTCTTGTGTCTACACTACCTCCAAGATATTGTAGAACGAAACATCAGATCGTGACGAAATTAACCAAGGTCCACGGCACGCTCATCTTGGGAAGATAACCTTGCTCTTCTCCCAAGGGCCACTACTTATAACCTTCGGTTTCCGCGGGTTTTTGAGTCGCTCCGGAGCTGAACTTTGAGCTTCCCTTTAGTACCGCGCTTCGGTTTGCTTTTGCTCATTTAAAGCGTTGTACTCATTCACACCACCACCTCGGACATTGCTCTACTTATCTCGCACTGTCTGCTGTCGTAGCTCCCCCCTCTCCCCTCAGCGACACAAAGATGCGGACGTATCTACACCTCTGCATAAGCTAAAAACATATACTAGGCATTATAAGTATTTGGGGAAGGTTAATAAGTTTGTAGATCAAAGAGCGCTTGATTTCTTGAATTTCAAAGAACGAATATTCTCCGCAATAAACGCTCTGAGCTAGACGTTCTAATTTTTGAAATGCTTTTGTTTTTGTAGGAATTGGCTTCGAGTCATCTTCAGTCTCTCATAAAACTGTTTGCTTTGGCATGCAAAAGTGAAAGAGATGGGCGAGCTGCTGAGTTGGCTAGTCTGGTCACCTCTGCGAAAGGCATACAAATGATGTGCAACTATGCTGCAAAACTTAAAAAATCCACTCTCGCTGATAAGGTTTGTTGAGAGAAGAAAAATCTATCCTTTTGTTCCTCGCCTCGATTCTGAAATATGAGACAATTTCGAACATTGATCCTCATTTCAGGTAGCCGCTAAAGGACGTGAGAACGTATCATTGAATGAGTCAGTGTTTTCTGATTCCTACCATGCTCCCTCTGAACAAAGTCCAACTCCCCGACGAATCTCAATCAAGAGGAAGAGTGGTGTGGTTCAACAGCATCCGGTTTGTTCGGCCCTTTTAAAAAGGTATGGCGTGTGAACGATATTATTATATGAATTCAGATCTCGGTGGAAAATGGTGAGATAGCGGCACCGGCATTGTTCGAATCCGAATTTGATGAAGAAGAAGAAGAGACTAAGGTCGATTATCAGATGCCTAGTAACAGTCAACAAACCGACGACTCGCTCCTTAACGAGACGCTTATCCCCGCACGAAAGATTTCGCGCAATCCTTTCAAGGTTGGTCGGTTAATTAATGAATGCCAAAAAAGTCCTAGGGTAACCAGCAAAATAAGTACTGGTTACTCACATTTGCGTCCCTCTCATAGATTAGACAAGCTGTGCACGCAACTCCGAAAACCGCCCTATCCGTGTGCAGGTGTATAGGTCAGCAGCAGCACTAGCGTTCCACTTCTTCCTCTCATAAGTGCAAGACAACGTAAGCGTTCATGCCGAGGTCCCGCAGCAAAACACGTACTGAGCGCTGGAGGACAGCCAGACGTGAGAGACACAGACATTTAGCTCATTTGATTGTGGTTAGGCGTGTGGCTGAGCGTGTGAGAGCAAGGGCAGAGTATGGAGACCTCAGTCGAGCACCTATCCCACCAGCTCTCTTCCCGTGTACTTTTGAGCGAAGGAAGTGTTACGGTACTGCAGCTGCGCACATATTTATCCCACACATGGCAAGGACCAGGATGAGAGTTGGTTTATCTTTATGTCGATAAAATGGAAAGTAAAGAACTAGCAAAATACAAGAGGAACAGTTTGCTGAATTTCATCTGGGAAAATCGGTTAAGACACGAGTTTCCACCACTAATCTTGAAAAGTGCTTAAAGTTAGTTCCGTGCTGGCGACGGAAGGCGCTGTGTCGAATCAGCTGGGCAAGTACTCTCCTAGCTTGTAATCTGCGCTGCTCGCTGCGGCATGGAACTCACCCTGTCTATCCATTTCTGTTTATTGTTGCTTACTATCAGTAATACAAAGTATTAAAGAGATCACCATCTTCGTCCATGGATACTTCTTCAGTCTTCGATCCCGACAACTCCTTTGCCAGCGGTAGAAAGCGTTTAAGGGAAGATGAGGTAACTGTAGAACTTGAAGATTCCGCTTGTCTTAGATGTCATGGTTCTTCCTTATGAACTGTTGTTACAGCCTTCAAAACCATCGACTTCAAAGCAACAGAAATTGTCATTTGGATCGTCCATGAAGGGAAAGGAGAATGCGCGGTTAGTGACTTTGCCTTCCAAATACTGTTCTTTATACAGATGTTATTTGCTCAAGGGAGCTCCCAGGATTGTCTATCATTTCGAGATCTGGGGCCTAAAAGTCGTAATCGTAAACTGCTAGTAAAATTCAGTTTATGGGATGAAAATAATGTAAGCCTCAAAAGGTGCCCACCTGCATGCTACGGATGCTCATAAGAGGGGTACATCACTGCGTTTTGGAAAACGTCAGTAGGGATTGGCATAACACTAGGTAATAAATTCAAATCACCACGAACGATTGCATGCGCAAGGAAACGAAGCTCGCTGAACGTTGATACGCTGACATCCATTTAATAAAGGCCAACTCCGCCGTTGTATTTTGTGGATACTGGCTCACTTACAACATAGTTGCTGAATAACTTTCCGGGGAAGAAAAACGTAAAAAAACCGTGGGGAACACCCTATGTGAAGTTAGTCGTCTCTTGGACGGGTTTTCCGGACCTGCTCGTTTTATTCCAGCAAAGCTATTTCCTACCACTTCTAGCTCAGTAATGGTTTCTCCGTGTCAATCACTACTAATAACATCACATAACGAAAAAAAAAATGGAAAACATGGTGTAAAAACTGAACTTATGACAGGAAATAGCTTTTGAGCTTAAGTGGGCGGACCAGCTGGGGAGGCATCAGAAATGCCACTTGTGAGGGTCACAGCGTCTTCGTCACTTACTACTGAAGCAGTGAAAAAGATTATCTTAGCCACTGAGCTAGACTACTTGTACGGGAAGGTGCCTACGAGTTGCTGAGCGCGGGGAACTTCTGTGTCTTCAAGGGTGATCTTTGACTCCGTTCAGACAGAAGCGCCTGTCGGAACCTCAAGCGACGAGGGTGTTCTTACTTTTCGACAGCACTACAGTACATTTCGCAACTGGAATTGTGCCGTTTTTTGAGTGTATTGCTTTTCAACGCGAAGCAAGGCTAAGCATGGCGTCGCTGTAAATGGATCAGTCCTCTCTGTCAGCGAAATATCCGTAAAACTTTTTCTACTGATTTTTTACACGTTGACGACGAGCCCGTTTTTTTTCATGGATTGGCTACGGGCCACATGTTCCAAGAAATGCAGAAATTTAGAATGCGGTCTCAATCCTTGACACGATTTAGCTTTTATTGCTCCAGTCTTCCGACATCAGTCCAGTTTTTACCAATTTTTACAGCAAATTTGGTTGGAAATTTCTCTCCATAGAAAGTTTACCTTCTGAGGATGAATATTACATCCGCTCGGCTCAAAACTGCTTGGCGCGTGCAATAGGCGCTACATTGACGGTAGTTTTTCGCCATTTCTTGCATGACTTGCGCCTCAAACTGTCTGGCGCCCGCGCCCTAGACGCTACCTTGACAAAGCTCTATTTTTTATGGCTTGCATTTGGAAGTGCCCTTTTACTCTTCGTTGAAACGGTGCAACCAACGCAGGGGAACGCATGCCTTATCGATCGCGTCGAGCGCGCGAATCGATCGCGGAGTCTGAACGCTGCCTAAAGGATATCGAAGTAGGAACTCCGCAAGTACCATCATCCTTATGAGTGATCTTGTCACCATGAGCGTTCCTTATGCTGACATCGACGAACTCAACGAAACTTTCGATGAGTTGCTGCTTGACAGCGACGCTGAAGTTCCCGATGGTGTGGATGCTGATGACATGACTCCTGCCGTTGTCCCTGATACTGAAGCTGATGAATCCGATTCCGACGTGTCAGATTACGACAGCAACGACGAAGAAGAGGAAAACACTTGGAGGAACGATGCTCAAGAACATGAGAGATGGACCTTCAGCGAGTCTGTTGGAGCTGCTCCAGAGGTGGACAACTGTGAGACGCCGCTCCAGTTTTATGAGTTGTTCTTCTCAGAAGAACTCCTTACCATGATAGCTGATCAGACTAACGTCTACGCTCAAGAAAAGCGACGTAATTGGATTCAAACGGACTCAGATGAACTGAGAATATTCTTCGGCCTCTGCATGCAGATGTCCCGCTGTCCATTCGATAACCAGCGAAATTACTGGTCGCTGAAACCTCGGAATTTGGCTAGAAATGGGCATTCGATTGCCGGAGATTTTATGACCAGAGATCGATTTGAGGAGATTCAGAGGCATCTTCACTTTGTCGACAACAGTGGCTAGGCCTGAAAAGACCAACAAGCTTATACAGTGGGCAGGCTGTTCTTGACTATCTGAACAGCCGATTTCAAGCCATGTACAGACCTGAGAGGGAGCTGTGCATCGACGAGTCTATGGTGCCATTCAGAGGTCGTGTTTCCTTTTGGCAGTACAATGGAAGAAAACGTCATCGATTTGGAATAAAGCTGTTCAAGCTTTGCTCCCGTGCCGGCTACACTCAAAAGGTCAAGGTTTATGCAGGAAGAGATCCAAAAAGGACAGCCAGTGTGGCAGAGGCCGTAGTGCTAGAATTGATGGACGGTTTTCTGATGCAGGGACGTTGCCTATGCACCGATAACTGGTACACCAGTCTACCACTCGCTCATACTCTTCTCAGGAAAAAAACAGACATGGTGGGGACAATCGCAAGAAATCGCAAGGGTATCCCTCAGATCCTTAGAGACAAGAAACTTCAGAGAGGAGAGTTCATTTACCAGCAGAACCTAAAAGGAGTGCTAGTTCTGAAATGGAGGGACAAGAGGGATATACATATGATGTCTACCAAGCACGATGCTGGTCTTCACCCAAACGGCAAGCCTTTGGTTGTTGTCGACTACAACAAGATGAAGGGATTCGTTGACCTGAGCGACCAGATGGCTGCCTATACGCCGTTTGTGAGGAAAACATCTAAATGGTATATTCGGTTGTTCTTTCATCTCTTGACGCAGACCGCCTTAGTCAACGCCTGGTTTTTGTATTGCGAGAAGATCAAGAAAATTAAAATCAATCACTTCAAGGAGTTGATTGTGGACGACTTGTTGTACCAGAACTTGAACAACATAACTAGCAGCTCAAGGTCACGCAAGCGCAAGCTAATATCTGACCCAAATGCGAAAGCTAAAAACAGACGACTTTGCTCCGACTGTTACAGCTCAATCTCTGCAACTGCTGGCAGATCGACGGCTAGGAAACTGGCTAAGAAGACCAAGTCAAAATGCAGTCTGTGTAACAAATTCTGCTGTTTAGATTGTTTCCAAAATTCTCATAGTTGTTGATTAACTGCATAAGCATTATTTTTTGCGTGAATGTATGTATTGTTGCAAAGTGAACTATATTTATTGAAAGTAAAAATGAAGGACAAGCCTTGAAAGCTATTCATATTTGGTTGATTCCAATACCAATAATACTTCTTCATCGTCGCCTGGCGGTTTTGTGGCAAGCGGTTGTGAAATTCGTGTTCACGGCATCAAATTACCCGCAGTGTACAAGTTTTCAGCTAATTTTGGTGATTTACGGTATTTTGGCGCCAGCGCCTGTGGCGCGGGCGCCAGGTAATTCGCGCCAAACAGCTGTGGTATTCATTCAGAGGTACAAGCTCCCCCCAAGGGACAAGTTTACCACGGACTTGGTTGTTCGTCCATCTTTCTTCTGAGAAAATATACTGGCAGACACCATTGTTCTGGGGTAGGATAAGAATGGTACGATCGCACCTCGTTAACGACTTCTCGCACCTGGATTCGAGGCATAATTAGCGAGGTGCGAAGCGACCTCATTAGCCGAGGCACGTCGTGCTCAACTGCAGCTGACCTCACTTCAAGGAAAAGCTATTAAGCTATCCAAATCGGAATAAATCCATTGCAAGATTTCGGTAAAGTGGGTAAAAAGATTGCCATATATTTCATATATTTATTATTATTATTATTACTTAAACAAGAACAAGTGTACAAATTATTATCAATAATTAACAAATGTATTATACAGTTTTGTTTGTGACGAATTGAGACATTTTTATGCAGTAGCACTCTATTTGGGCACTAGATACTCCCTGCTGATAAAGTTCGTTGAATCTGAAAATAAGTACAGTGTCTTTGAGAGGTGCAATGAAGAAAGGGATCTGAAAGGTGTCCTACTTTGCCATTTCCTCAGATATTTTCTCTTTCCTCGCCATGTACACCTCTCGCACTGTCGCTGAAGAGGAAGTTGCCCGGGAGGTGGAAAAAGTGTATGGAGAGAAGGGCTCCACGTAGTAAGAAGTTTCTGGTACAGGGATAACGGTGTATGTTGGATCCCGAGCGACGTAGTAGAAAGGTGCCGGCGGGGGGAAACTGTGTGGTGGTGCAAGCCCTACGTCGTACGAAGGTGCTGGTGCCCGGGGAAAATTGGTGCGGTGTTTGCATACAAAGGAGTGGGGCACGATGTCTGAGGGAACCCTGGAAAGGTTTCATACACATAAGAACGGGAATCAGAAATTTTTTAATTTCCTGATAGTTTAGTTTTCACTCGATTTATTCCGATTTCGATAACTCAATGATCTCTCATTGAATGAGGTCACTTCGCACTCGAGCACGATTTCCCCCTGCTTAATGAGGTCGCTTCGCACCTCGTTAATGATGTCTCGCACCTAGGGGCGAGGCATAAGCGAGGCATAATTAACGGAGGTGTGATCGTACCATTTTTATCTAACCCCATTGTCTGCTCGTCAAAGAGACAGAGACTGGCTGTCAGTTCCACCATTGTCTGCCACCGTCGTCTTAAGATTTTTTAAAGGCAACGAAAACGCCCCTCACTTCAAAAGAATTGTACTCCCACTGCCACTGCTCATTGAAGAAGGGGTTATCTATGGCGAAAGTCGAAACCTCTGAATTTCTTTCCCTGTTTGAGTCCTCCAGTCGAGGTGAGGCTGGAAAAAACATCGTGAACGTTGCCTGACGTTCTCAAGGCAGTCCTGGATCAGAATCAGAAAGACCAAAAATGAAATCAATCCAGAATTGGAGCACGTTCAAAAGAGTAAGCGTTTCTCTGGAGCGTGAGAAATAAGCTTTGGGCTGAAGAAGATGGGTGAGCCCAACTATTTGTTGATATTTTCAGAACTGCTTATTCTCTATGGATGGAAAGCAATGAGGAAGCATTGCATAGTATGTTCAGTGGAAATCCAGAAGATTTTGTGAAGTTCTGCGCTCAACAATTCCGAATGCTTCCAGCGCTCGAGAAGAAGGTTAGTTTTATCTAAAATATGTAGCGAACGCGTTCCTTGTGACTCATCGACGGTTTTCTACTTTTAAGTACTAGTTTAGCATACTACTCGGCGTGCATTTGTAAGAGGCTAGCAGCAGCTATACAATACTTGAAGTCTTTAAAACCCTCTTCTATTCAGTGGTATTGATATCGAGAAGCATTTTCAAACGCGCACTGCATCTGCCTGTTTCGGTAATTCGATTCCCGCACAATTCTTTGCATAGCTCGGCGCTGGTGTGGTTGAGGTTCTCAACTCAAGGACATCTACTCCCTCAAAGTGATAGGCTGCGTTTATACTTTGCGGCAGCGTAGCGTAGCGCTTCCAGCGTACGCCAGCGGCAGTGCCGAAGAGAGGATGCATATCGATCTAGCTTCACCAGCGTACGCTAGCGTACGCTAGCGTACGCCAGCGTTTCTCCAGCGTTTCACCAGCGTTTTGCTAGCGTTTGCAGCGGCAGGGGAGTAGAGACTATGGGAGAGCTGGAGGGTACAAAACACATCGATTGCGCGTCTCTCACTCGCCCTTAGTCTCTACAATGCACATCGCTTCTGCGTCTCCGACGGCCACATAGTCTCTACAATGCACATCGCTTCTGCGTCTCCGACGGGCCACATGGTCTCTACAATACACGTCGATTCCGCGTCTCTCACGCCACATAGTCTCTACTCCCTGCCGCTGCAAGCGCTAGCAAAACGCTGGTGCCGCTGGAGAAACGCTCGAGAAACGCTGGTGAAGCTAGATCGATAGCTATGCTTCCCGTGCCCTCGCTACGCCAGCGTGCGCGTGCCGCTGGTGACGCTGGTGAAGCTAGATCGATATGCATCCTCTCTTCGGCACTGCCGCTGGCGTACGCTGGAAGCGCTACGCTACGCTGCCGCAAAGTATAAACGCAGCCTTACGGTTGAAACTGTGTTTAGAGCACTGTTGAAAAAGTGATAAAGTGGCATATTACTGACTTGAACTTTAGACTACCAAAGAGCTAAATACTGCCGCTTCTTCAGGCTGGACTCATGATTTTTCTCGTATAAGGAACTTTTTCAATTTTTTCAGGAATGGAAGGCTCGAGCTGAGACATCTCAGCAATGACTGCGTGCCGACGGCCATGTTTTTCCGTAACACTGTAGGGCTGTTCTTTTATAGTACTACTTCTTGATTGCTGTACGGTTCTATCTGATCTAATGTCACTGTACTAAATCTCTCTATTAATCCATCCCTCGGGAACATCAGCCGGTAGTCTCAACTGGTGTGGGCACTAACTGGTACTCAGCAGAAATTATATTCGGCCTAGTAGACGAGGAGCGTCATTTACCAGTCATGACGAGTGCTGCAAATAGGCGTTGCAAGCGGGGTTACTTACGCAGCGTTTTTGCTAGGTCCCAGCTCGCTCCCACCGAAGTCTGCTAGGTAACCTCAACTCCTCCTCAAATCGGGCAGCGTCGTATGACTCCCGAGCATTTTAACCGTTGAAATGTACAAGTAATTACTGCGCGCGACTTGTTCCGTCTCCCTTCTAGTACGCCATGCTGTCGTATCTCGTTCTAGTGTATCCTTTGTACCATACTGCCCTCACCTCATCTCTTCAACTTGTAAAAATATGTATGTGACAGTTTTTCTACGCGTTCCATGTTGTTAAGTTTCTCACATGTGTGATTACGAGTGCACGGCCTTGCTGTTCGAAATATTCCCAGAACGATGATCTTGTTTCCTGCGGACGCTTCAGATGGCTGGGTTTGGCGTAGCACCGGCCTGTTCTCCAGCAGATGTGGAAGCCGGCAGGCGACCACTGCTGGTGGTGAACAGGCCTGCAGGACTGCGCGCAGGGTGCCTACCCTTTAGAAATTTGAAAGGTTCATGTCTAATCAGGGAGTGAAATTTTAATAAACGATTGTGTTTTGAGCTGAGGAAGCTGAATTGTAGTGGAAGTGGAATACTGTCTTTCAGTTTTAGAACATTAATCGTGCAAAATAGACCAGTTGTAGTGTTTTCTCACTATCACAGATGTTTTCGAGTCTACGGTATCTTATACCATTAAAAGAATTCAAAAGGCTTTCAACCCGACGTTTGTCTATTTATTTATTCAGCACGCTGTGTAAAACAATGTTCGAAAACAAAACAGAATACAAATTACAGAAGAAGGAATATTCGAAAAGACAATAAAAATTAGTGGCAACTGCACTAAAGTATAAATGAAGTGATACTGAAACTCCTCAGAATAGTTTTAGGATTGGTAGAAGATAGCTTGAGCTTACCCTTTACAGTGATTGATGGAAGGTTGTAGAGACAAAACAACTATCTTAGTTTGTGACCGCTTGTTTCACTGTGGGACCTAGTTTGGCCACCAAAACAATTTATCTCATTTTTGAATTTTTTGCCAATATT